GTGGTGCAGTTGAGGTTCCAGCACCCAGGAGCAGTGGCTATGGCACACTGGGTCAGGACAGGGCACACGCTGCTCTGCCCAGCTCTCCTTGTACTTGCTGTGGTTCTCTGCAGGAAGCCCCGTCCCCATCTGCCAACCCAGAGAGCCAAAGGGGCTGTGATTGAGGCTCTCCCCATCCATGCATATCTCATCCCCATCCCCAGGACCTCAGAACCGGCGCTCAGAGCATTTTTCTGCAGCAGTGAGCACAAAATGAACCAGGTGTTTGCAAAGAGCTTCAAGGAGTATCCAGCAAACCAAGGAAGGAGCTGCAGCACGTGAAGCTGAGGTCCCTCCTCTTGCACTTCACAGCAGACGTGCTCTGGGCCCTGCAAACCTTCCTGCAGCTCTGTGTTCCTCGTGTCCCACTCTCCTTTGGAGTTGTTTTCCTCTGGATGTACAGCCGCAGAAACACGCCATGCACAAAGTTGATGAAGCTTGGTTAATTTTCTAATAGGCGCAGCAGTGATGGATGGAAGCCGTGCTGTCTTCCAGCTCAACTTAAAAGTCAAATAAAAATAATCATGCTGATGGAAAAATATCATTCTTCCAGCAAAGGCAGATAATATATGATCTGTTCTATCTGCCAAGCGCCCGTCCCTGGTAACATTCCCATGTGCTTCAGCAGGGGCAGAGTTCAGCTCACACTATGCACTCTCCCATCCACCATACACTGGGGCTTCAGCATAAACAACCCATGGAGCTTTTTCAACATCTGCATTATTTCTAATACGGTTCCCACATCAAGAGCTGTGCTGCAATGGAGGCAGAGGCGGCCTGCAGCAGGGACTGCAGCGTGTGGGATTCAGGGAGCACCTCCTACAGGTTGGAGTCTGCACGCTGCATTTGCATTGCATGGATCCTGCAAACCATGAGTTGCAAGCTGTGCTTGGGGAGTCTGCAGCTTTCTGCAGGTCTGCTGTGCTGCTGAGAGCTCTGCAAAGGGCAACAGACCCAGAATTCAGGTGGGATGCAGTCGGAGCTGCGCTCAGCGTGGGGCTGCTCGGCGGTGCTGCGCTTTGGTTTCGCTGTGATGCCGCTGTGCCATGCCCCAGGTAAATCATCTCTAATCCGATTTGCTGAGCTCAGCTGCCTTCACAGTGGGATGAGGGATGGCAGGACAAGCCCAGCAGGTTATTTCTGCCATACTTCTTCCATCGCTCCATACCCACAGCAAATGACACCTATATATCTTGGCAGCAAAATGAAGCGTGGTGGGGACGAGTTTTCCTCCTCGCCACCAAAACCTCGCAGCCAGCGTACCAACACTGCCCACCCCATCCTCATCTCCATGCAGATTCCACACACGGCCCCAGGCAGTCGAATGCTGCACTGAAGGGCCGAGTGATGAAGAGGGGACCGCTTGCAGCCACCATCATTGCTTCAAACAAACAGGCTGAGAGCTTAATGATTTCAAGGTAAAGCGCTTTTATTAAGACAACACAGGGAACTTTTTTCAACCACAGCTGACATCACTATAATAAATCACCATCATGTCTTGTGGGATTGAAAAAGCCAAAATACTGTCAGAACTGATTTTTCTGGCTACTCATGCCTCCAGAACAAACCATGTGTTTTTAATCAACAAATCTTTGTTTTGCATTTCTAAGACCCTAGCACTCTTTAAATAGTTAGCATTTACCAGAGGGATATTTTAAATTCAGCACACTGCTTCCTTACTGGAGAGATTAGGAAACAGGACACCACATTACAGACTTACCGGGCTTGTCCAGGGCTTTTGGAAATTTGTTTTTGTTATATTTATGCAGTACAGAGATGGGCTTTCCCACACTTGTTTCTAGCTTCGTTCAGCCATTTCTCTCCCCAAAATGTGGACGTTCTCTGCTTGCAGTGAGCTGCACGTTGCAGTGCGTTGCTCCTCATCCTTTGCCTGTAGAGGATGTGAGCACGGAGCATCTTGGTGCCACCCTTATGCTCAGGTGTCTGTGTAGTGATGGGGTCTGGAAGGGTCTGGGGGGGTCCTGGGCACTCTCAAGGTCGGGCTGAAACCGGAGCCACCGGGATCCCCTTTCTCACCCTGCCAGACCCCCTCCCCCGCTGCCAGCTTGGCACAAATGTCAGTGCTGAGAATAACCCCGGGCCCATGCCAGGCACAAAGATGCCAGTGCCAATCACCCACGTCCAGCAAGCGGTGTGTGAGCAGAGCTCAGGACAGGAGATGGACACCGCTCCTTCCACACTGCATGGTTTCTTTGGTGTGGGAAACTCAGGCTGACCCCATGGAGGAGACCCCACAGGCAGTGGGAGAGACAGGAGTGGAAACCCCATGGACTGAAGGGACGCAGGGACCCTCAGGCTCAAGGTCAGAACTTGTGATCACGGTGATCCATGCTGACCCCAGGCTGAGCCCTGCCATCCCCAGACCCCCCTCAGCCACATGAAAGCAGCCAAGAGCACGCAGCCATGCGCTGCACCGCTCCCCCCAGAGATCAAAGCCCACGCCGGGGGCCGGAGCATGTGAGGGGCAGGTGTCCATCCCCCCACGGGCCACCATTCATCACACGCTGCGTCCCACAAGGAGATCAAACCCGGCCTCCCGCGGCTGTTGGTTAAAATCCGCCTTCCAGTTACCCTAATTAAAGTTTTCTCCCGGCTGACTGCCGTCCTGTGAGCGCTTCTTTCACTCCCAGAAACAAAGGCTGCAGTGAGGAGCCCTCATCCGGTGCCAGGACCGCTCTGTTTGCCTCCTTTTGAACTGGGACACTCTGCTGGAAAGTGGCTTTTCCAATTTGGGAGAAGTCATGGAGCCCCGTGCAGGGCTGGCGTCTTGCTACGGGCACCGAGGGAAGGATTCTCCCCAGCCAAGACCTCCTATGGGACACTTCTGGGTTTTATAAAGGAAATTCAGGCAAGAACCAAAGCTTTTCAGCACCCAAAACCAGGGCAGTCTAAATGCAAGGTCTATGCAAGCCACATGGTGAAGAAGTTTTAAGGTTTGCACCAAACAACATAAATCTGTGCCCTGGAACAAGAACACAGCTGAACCCAGCAGACGGTGCTGCTCCATGTTCTGGTCTTGGCCCTGAATTACAAATAACAGCTGCAAAGTTTGTTCCCCATAGCACGCAGAGGGAAGCAGGCAGATAAAGGTCTGCACAACCTGCTGCTGGGGGAGATGGTATCTAAATAGGATTTTTGTTTAAAACCCAAGATAATAGCGATAGTGCTAATAATAATAATCCTAATGATCCCTCTTTTCAGGCTGCTTCGAAGCCCAAATCTTATCCTAAACAAGAAAATTATTCTAAGCCTCAGAGAATGCATTGAAAATTAATATTGATCATTAGGAATAATCACCCTACGAGGAATGGCACTGCAGTGCCTGGGGAAGGGATCTCTCCAGGGCCAGGCAATAATCACACTACTCCTATTGAGCAGTGCCCAGAGTGGATTAACCCCTTCTGTGCCAGCCATGCTGTGCCCTGGGTGCTGCAGTGCCTGGTTCACAGCCCCACACAATGTGCTGCTATGCCACTTAGTGCCACACAAAGCAATGCTGAAAGGGCTTTCAGAACACACCGTGTTGAGGCAAGAGTCTATGGAAGATGTTTAATACTAATTCTATTAGGCATCTGAGTTAATGAATCACAAGTGTAAGAAATCATGATAATCCAGCAGGCATTAGTGACAGATTAGCTTCAAAGCTACCATAAAAGTGCCATAATGCTTACCTAGCAGCGTGATTAATGCCAGCAATACATAATGTCATTATGAGGAATGGAGCGGCGTGGCGGCAGCTGACAGCCCCTTTGCTCTGGCCATGGCTAAAGCAGTGCAGTGCTGATGAATCCCCACAGGATGGGTGTTGCTGGGGTGCTGAGCTCACCGTCAGCACGTCCTCCTAAGCTGAGATGCAGCCAGAGCTCAGAACCCATTGCTCCCAAGGATCCCCTCCCTGCCCAGCACATGGACACCAAGACACAGCGCCATGCATGGAAGAAGGGGTGAGAGTGGGACAAGTTGCTATTGAATGGAACTGGATGGCTCATTATGGCTTTTAAAGATTGTTTTTCTACGTCTTTATTGCTCAGGTTTGCTTAATTCTGGAGTGGATGCCTGCCAAATTGTCTATCAAATTACCTACCAGCAAGTAAACCAAAATCAGTTCACTTGAGTGCAGCCCTCTTCTATTTGACTTATAGCCAAGCAAAATATGGGCTTAATCAAGGGAGAAATTGGACGTGATGTTTCAATGAAAGATAACAGGGTAATGTCTGTTCAGTGGAAACAGGTGAAGACAACAGCCTGGGACGGAGAGCAGAGGGTTGGATGCTTTGGTGTAAGGTGGGGCTGCTCCTGTGAGACATGGCACTTCTATACCCATGTACACTGTGGGTGTTCACCCCTTCCTGCTGATTTACTCTCTGCAGAGCCATGCAGGTGGATGAGGCCCATGCACCGTTGCAGCATCTCCATGCCCCTGGCTCACGCGTGTGGTTCACAATGCTCCCTGATCAAAGTCCCATGAGCAGACCTACAAGATGGTTGGACTGGATGATCTCAATGGTCTTTTCCAACTTCAATGGTTCTCTGACTCAATGAAGAGCATGGAGCTTGCTTTGGAGCAGTGCACTCTGCTTTGTTCCAGAGGTCCTCTGAGGGTTATGCTTGCATTGCCCACAGCTCCTGACTTGGAGGAGCATTGGGCTTTGATTTCCACACCAATCCTAGCTCCAGAGATGCTATCTCCATTCCCAGGACACGTGGTGGGGTTTTCAGTCCCCAACATCATGGGAGTGTGGGAGATTTCTCTTCTTCTTCCCCTCTCTTTGATCTTTAGTGGTTTCCAGCACTCATTCAAGCTCAGGAATTTGACTCCTGAAGGCTAAAAACTGGAAGGTAAATAAAAATAACCCCAAAGTTAATTATATACTTAACAAGTCATGTTTTTTTTAAGCCTGTCTCATTCCTTGTGGGGGTCTGACTCATGGTTCTGAGCACTTGCAGTTGGCAATAACGTCTTGCTATAATTTGAATTAAACCACTTGTAGCACTGCTCTGTTCTCTAATTTCATTTAGGCCCAGTGGGTGTCCTGTCTTCCTGGAATTTGTTGGCTATCTAATGAGAAGCAGCCTGGCAAACGATGTTAATGGATAAAGGCACCTTATGTGGGGGTAAGAAAGGAATGGAGGGGAGTGGGAAGGTGGTGGGGAGGAGCTTGTGGAGAAGGCCACCATGGATCCAGAGGGATGGAGAGGGATGGGGAAGAAGAGGAGGATGGGGACGATGGGGAGGTTGGGGAGGGAGCTGGTACAGGAGACTGTAGGGATGATTTATGCAGCCTTCCTATGCAGCAAGTGCTGTTGTATGGCCTTTGAACCACATCCCAGGAGCCACTCCGTGTCCCCACAGCCACCTCATGTCCCCAGAGCCACCCCATGTTCCCCTCAGCAGTGACCTGTTGACCTGGTGCTGAACCCGAGCCCTGCCCTGCTCTCACCCCAGGGGACACGGAGGTCTGTTTGATCCTTCCCATCTGCCCAGCTTTCCCTATGAAAGGGGTTGTTGGCTCCTGCAGACTGAGCATTGCTTGTCCCTGGCCCCGAGCATCTCCCGGTGCACGGCTCACAGCGGTGACGAGCCGCAGCCTTTGCTCTAAGCCGGGTGGCCCAACCTAGCAATGAAATGGTTCCTCTTCTGCCACAAATAAGTAAATAAAGAGGGGGGGAGGATATTTTCAATGGCCCCCTCTGTCTGCAGGGAGGTGCAGTTCCCCGCAGCCCTCTCCAGGAGAGCCATTTCCCAACCTTTGCCAGCAGGGATCAGTGGAAGGTGCCACGCTACCCGTGCCACTCACTCCCCCCTGCCCATTCTCCATTCCATTTCCCAACCCATTCCCCATCCCATTTCCCAACCCATTCCCCATCCCATTTCCCAACCCATTCCCCGTCCCATTTCCCACCCCATTCCCCATCCCACTCCCCATCCCAAGGGCAGGGAGGGCTCCCAGGCAGGAGCACAGAGCCCCATGTCTGCTGGACCACTGAGGGAAAGGTGGCAATACTAACAAGAGCAAAAAAAACCAAAATGTAGGAAAACAACCTTTCTATATATATATAAATACATACAGACAGACACACACGTATATACACAGATTTTAAAAGAGCAAAAGGAAAAAAAACCCACGACTTCCAAAGTCGTAGGAGTTGCTGAGTTGAGTTACGGGGGCTGGGGTCGGATGATTAACAACCCTCCTGCATTTCTGCATCACAGCCATTACTCACTCCAAACCTGAGGCTTCTCAGTTACATACCCCGGCGCAGGCCGACCATTTTTTCCATTGACTGAAAACACATTCTGACTGAAAACAAACTTTCGATCCCCAAGGCTTGGCACGCCTCGGGTCCTTCACCGTATTTAATCAACGGGAAGCTAAACACTTTCAATCTGTGATGGCTCATTTGGAGAGGGAGCTCTGGGCCCTCGCTAGGTGCCAGATATAATAACTCTCCCCTTTTCTTTTCTGAGGCCTACTTTTATAATTTTGCTATTTTTCAATGTCAGACCCATCTTTTGAAGAAATTTTATTGGATTTCCTGCTAGACTTCAGCGAGGATTTTTCTTTCTTTGGCAGAAATATCAAGCAGAACAGGGGAAAAACTCAATCATAACCTTGGAACGGGGCTCATTATTAGTTAGGATTTCTTTGTCCGTTTGCACAAACGTTACTTAAGGGGCCCCTGGGCGCTCCGGTCTCCCCCAGCTGCACATTTCCATAAGGTCTCCCCAAAGGCTTTGGAAATCTCTGCGAAATTCCTCATGGCTTCAAAAGGGAGAAGAGCTGCAGAGGGGCAGGGCAGCCTCGGGGCCCTTTGCTGTGGCTCAGTTCGGCACACTGCAGAGCTCCCGGCCCAGGGAATGAGCAGGGTTTGCTGGCTCCAGGTTCTCGGGGCTCTGTAGGCTTCCCGTCTTCTTTCTTGCAGTGTTTGAGGTTAAGAGGTATGCAACAGCCTCCAATAAATCGCTTGGTGTGGCGTACAACAAAACAAGAAAATGTAATTCAGATTAAAGTCACCCTCTGGCTAAAATGATAGTTTATTAAATAAGCTGCAGTGCTGCCAATCAACTCTGCTGGCAAGCAATGCCTTGACATTAATCTTTTTTGATGTGATTTAGGGTACACCTGGGCCTTTGTAGAGTATCTCCCATAATTTCTTTCCCATCTCTCTGGATCAAGCTGCTGTGCTTGGCTCCGTTGACAAATTCCCCAAGTAATCCCTCAAAAGATTGGAGAAATGCTCCAAACGCTCCATTAAATTTATTTTCCGTGCTTTAAGAGCCCCAAAACTATGTCCAATAAATAAGTGTTCAGCGTGATTTATGGAAATGCTGCTCTGATTTAAAGTCACAGGGGGGGAAATGCATCCCCCCCCCGGGGCGGGAGGAGCTGTGCCCGTGCCCCACACCCAGACCCAGCTCTGAAGGTCTCCACTCGGGTTTCCTTTCCCCCAAAAAATTTATTGCGTTGTACTTATTGGGGGAACCATCAAAAGAGTAATTCTGGCCCTTGTTTTTGCACAGTCCTTTTGATAAATATGATACTTAGAAATATGCCTCCCACAAGACAGGAAAGCCATAGAGTTAAAATGAAGTAATCTGTCAGTAAACTTGTTGGAATCAAAGCCAAAATGAAACCTGTAAAAGCAAAAGGAGAGGGGGAAAAAGACAGCCCGCACTCCAGAGCACTTTGGGCAAAGCAGGGAGAGGGCAGACGGGGGCTGTCCTTCCTGCAGGCAGTTCTGCATGAGTCAGGGCTGGTGCTCAAAGGGCCTCTGTTCACATCCAGCCTTGGTATTGCTCCTGTCCCTCCAGGGACTCCATATATTGAGCTCCGTGCAACCAGCTCCATGTCTTGAGCTCTGTGTGTTGAGCTCCATGCCACAAACCTCATGCCACCATCTCCTGTCCCTGGATGCAGCCGTGGAGTTTCTACCACCCTCAAGCTGCTCTTTTTTGGTAGCATCCAATGGGATTTTCTCTTTTTGCCTGATTCCAGAGAAGCACACCCCACGGTGTGCCGAGTTCTCCAGGGCAAACCCAAAGCAGGTCACAGTGTGGGACTGCGTTCATCCCCCTTTGGATTTTCCTCCCCCTCTGGAACAAACACCACAGAACTTAAAGCCCTGTGCAAAATGCAGCCCCATTGGTTCTAGGGAGGGCAGGAATTCTTCACTCTCCTCTGACCCCACAACCTCCAGGGCCGTTCCCAAACTGGGTCACAAACCTGCCCCAAAACACAGCCCAGAGAAGCTGAGGTTCAGAGGGTCCTGGCACAGGGGGAGACCCCACGTGGGGTCAGATCCTACCCTTCCTGCTGGCATGGATACAGTTGAAAGCGAGGTGTGTTGCACCACCTGTGTTTACACTGTGCAATCTGCAGTTTACTGTAATAAAATCATTTAATACTGTCATAATTTTTTTGGCAAGGGCCGCACTGCGTGATATGGAGCAGAGCCACCTGACAGCAGCCCGATGTGAGCGATAGTGCAGAGGGCAGGAAGCAACATGAAGAGCCACCCCGGGGCTTGCAGGGCTCTCCAAGCAGACAGAACAGAGGGAGAGGTGCACAAAGAGCCCGGTGTGCTGCCCCAAAACCCCTTCTGTGTTCCTTGAAAACCTGTTCTCATGCTGCTTGTTGGGGCTGGGGAAGGGAATCGGGGTCAGAGGTGCTTCTAGGGCATGGGGTTGGGGATGCTCCCTGGGGTCTGGGTGAGGAAAGGGGAAGGCGCACGTACGGGGCGAGGAAAGGAGAAGGGAAAGGGAAGGAGAGCGGTGTGCGTGTGTGTGACTGCAGAGAGAAACAGGATTCATGGTAATTTCCTGCCAGATGCCTGAACTCCTCCAGCATGCAGACATTTCACATGTGAAATATCAAAGCGTTCCCAATAACAAATGTACTTCCTGCAGCTCCTCAGATCTGCCTCCGTGCCAGCAAGGGAGCCGGGCAGGGAATGCCGCTGCAGCGCTGAGGGTGCAGGGCTCAGCTAAAGGCTATCACCACTTTGGGAATGTTATTCCCAGGTTTGGGAATATTATTCCCCAATTTGGGAATGTTATCTCCAGTTTTGGGAACAATTGCTGTCGGTTTGGGAAGGTTGAACCCAGGTTTGGGAATGTTACCCTCACGTTTGGGAATGGCACCCTGAGTTTAGGATGGTGACTCCCAGATTTAGAGATGTTACCATGGGTTTGGGAGCCCACGTTGGCTCTGGCAGCTCACATTGCCTGTTGGGGGTGCAACACACATCCACAGCCTCTTGACCCCATCAGCACAGTGCTGAACATCTCTGGGTTCCGGACTGATTCTGAGCTCTGTAAACATCCTGACAACAGTGAGGAGGAAAACGCCCACCCCAAAGAGCTGCTGGGCTGGGGTGGTGATGGGGACACAGGCAGCCCCACTGCAGGGACATCTCCATACCAACCCCACTGCACAGCACAAAGTGTTCCCCTCCAGGGAGGCGAAGAAGAAAATGCTTCTCATCCGTTTTGGCCATTTCTCTTGATGTTTCACAAAGTTGATTCCTGTTTGCAGCTCACACACCATCATCCCACCTCCAATGGGACCTGATGCTGTTTCCAAGCTCTTTCTAAGTGCCTTGCTGGAAGGGAAGCAGTGGGGTTCACTTAATTCAATATTTTTGAGTGTTTTTAGGACCTGCACAACTCTCTACACCAGGTGGCTGTAACTCACTCCTCGTGTTCTTTACAAGATATTTGTAAGCTTGCAGCAAATCTCCTTTACTCTCATCCACATCTTTCAGAGCTAACATACACACAAACCCTGCAGACTGAGAGCTGCTTTGCATGGGAGAAACTCACGCAAAAAGACCCAAATCATCATAAATCAATACTAACTGTACGCTGCTTATTATTTCCTATTGTCTATCGGCCCTCCAAGTTGATATTGACTCGGTTGGAGCAAAACGTCGATAACCGCAGACCTCGAAGGTCAGGGAGGATGGATAGCAGGTGAGAATCCCCTCTGAATCTCAGTGGTGGATTTTTCTTCGGGAGAGCTTCATGCAGCCCAAGGAGGGGAGGGGGGACCCATCCCTAGGGATCGCAGTGCTGGTTCCAGCTCCTGCCCGCGCCCCGTCACATCTGTCACTTCCCATTAGAGCCCGCCAGCCACATAATGCGCTCTGACTGATGTAATTGGGGCTGACACAGCGGCAAAAGGATCTCCAGAAACTTTACACCACGCGGTTTCCTGCGCCCCGCTCCCTCTGGCTCTTTGCTGGAAACCGCGCTTGGAGGCAGCGCCCGGGACTGCGCTCACCAGAACTGGGGTCAGTTTCCAGCTGCTGGGTCTGGAAATGGGAACCTCACCCCGGCCACTGGCTGCAAGGCTGCGAAGTGGTGGCAGCACATGGGGTGTGCTCTTACAGCGAGAAAACCCCACTTGTGCCCTTTGCTGGGAGGGCATTTTGACCCAATATCAAAGCAGTGGTCCTAGGGAAATTCCCCCCCTGAGTGGAGAACCACAAGCTGGAGGCTCCTTCCCCATCCCCACACCATCACAGCGAGGGGCTCCAGCAGGCAGGGCAGCCAGGAGCCAGCCCATGCTGCAGACGATAGGAGATTGTACCCAGCACCTCTCCTGCCTCAGGGATGTAGGTGACTTGGGGATGTGGGTGTCTTGGGGATGAGGATGATGCTTTGTCTCTGCCATCCTTGGGCAGTTTCAGGGAAGCAGAGTGACCCACAGCCTTTATCTGCCCCTTGGGCTGATGCTTGAGCGCAGTACTTGAGATAGGAGCTTCTGCAGAGCTCCTGAACTTGACTTGAACATACAGCCTTCTTGTCCCTCCTGCTGTGGTTCAAGGAGAAGCAGTGACAGTGGCTCAGCCCAAAGTGGAGCCACAGGGGTTTGGACCTGTGAGATGAGAGCAGGGAAGCACCACTGCTGCTGTTGTGCTCCTGGAAGGGACAGGGCTGGGGCAGCTGTTGGGTGATGCTCAGCACCGCTTTGTGGGGGGATCTGGGGGCAATGCTGCTGCTACAGCCCTGATCTTCATGGATCAATGTTTCTGTCGTGCTCATGGTCTCTTTGCCGAAAATACTTTCTCACTGTGAGCGTCATACATAACGAGTGAGAACATCCAGCACTTTGGGGAGATCAATAGCACCACAGTTGTAAATATCCCGGGAAATCAATGGGGGATGTAAGAGGTATTTCACCCATTTTCACTTCTAACATCTCTTTGTACTAAAAATGGTATTTTAATAAGTGATGGGTGGAGGCTCTCCCTGTGCACGGCTACTGTGTTTCTCAACTGCCTCTGATCCCTGGGAGCACATCTTTCCTTCCACGTGGCCATGGCCAAACATACACTCTCCTGTATTAAAAGAGCACCAGCTCCTCGAGAAAGACTGCAGAAAATCTCTCATGGTGCACCTTGGGGAGCTACAGAAATTGAATCCGCAGCACCTCTGGGAGAAACATCACCCAAAGAACTCAGGGCAACTTCTGGGACAGCGGGACAAGGTGATGCTGGAATCCCTGGCAGCACCCAAGTCTCTCATTGCCCAAGAAGACAAATCTTTGTATGGCACCACAGTACAGCACAAAAAAGCTACGTGGAGCCAATGACCACCATCCAAGTCCATGGCAGCATGCTGCCCTGTGCTCCCTGGCGTCCAGCTCTTGGACACCTTCAACACAGGTGTTTTCCCAGCTCTTTCTGCTGTTATGGCCGTGTTCGTGGTGCTCAGAGGTGGGAGCAGGAGGCAGCCCTGGGGGCATGAAACCCCTCTGAGCAGCATCACCCCGGTGCTGTGTTCCCATCCCCATGAGCCAGCAGGACACCTTTCATGTCCTAAATGCAGCGTGGAGGCCAACATAGCACTAATTACAAGGCAGTGCATCCCCGTGCCCTGTGACTAAGGCAGTATGTAGAGCAAAGGTAGGAACAAACCACCAGAAGAGCAAATAAATAAAGGAGGCAGCCTTAATAATGGGGTAATTACCTGGCTTAAGTACACAATCATCTAGCATTTTGCTAAACTTTATGACACATGATGACAAGTTAATAAATGAGATGTCTTACCAGCAGTAAAACAGCTGTTAGCAGCCACCTTGTATGTCTGGGTAGCCCAGAGCAAAATGAACCACCGCGCCAAATGAAAAGAAACTGGTTATTTCTGTTTGTCGAAATAGCCCGTGTAATAAATCACCATTAATGATGCTGTCACTTATCAAAGGGAAAGCTCTTGTTGCAAAAGCCTTTGAAGTCATGGCACCTATAATTTCCTACCTATAAAAAGGTGCCTTTGTGCATGTGTCATGGCTGGAGCTGCTGGGAGGGACCTGGAGTTCAGTGCTGCCCATAGCTCTGAGCTGAGGGGCACCATGGGGCGGGGGGCACCAAGGAGCAATGGGAGCACAGGGAGTCCCCAGCCCAGTGCTGAGCCCTGCAGCAGGAGTCCAACCCTCCCTCCTCTCCCATCCTCTCTGTAGACATTGCTAATGCTTGTGCAATTATCACATTATTGCAAGAATCTTCATCTGCCATCGCGTCCTGCAGAAGAGCACAGAGGCGTCTTGCCCTGCTCCTCTGCTATGCAACCACTGTGCAACAAGAACCAGGCTGCAAGCACGGCCCCTGTACAAACAGTGCCTGTCAGCAGGGATTAAACCCTCTGTCAGCACAGTGCAGGAGGCAGCGGGCACTTGAACTAAAGGAACATCTCCTTCCAGCAGCAAGAACACAGCCAGCACTTGTAGCTGTAAGAGGAGCTGTGATGCATGCATTGCATGCACGTGCTGCAGGGATGGGGACGGCGGGATGGAGCTGCTGACCCCATCCCACAGACCTCTGGGGACCGTGTCCTATGGGATGCAGCTCAGACAGTGGGGAGCTGGATGTATGCAGAGGTGTCAATGGGCTCTGTTCATGCTGCCAAGCAGGAAAGCAGCAAAGCCCAGCAGAGCAGGACAGGGTGTTCAGTTGAGAAAAGCATGAGACCATACCTATGCCAACCTGTGGGCAGCTGCCGTGTCTCTGCCTTCCACTCGTCCCCATACTCTGTCCATGCAATGCATCCTAAAAGAGCAATGAAGTCCCAAGTAAAGGGCTACAGAGGCAAAGGGGAGGGGGGGGGGAGGTTTCTCCCCCTGTTTGGGAGGAATGTGTTTCTTTTCTAGAGACCTAAGGAGGTTTTTTTCCCTCCTTCTTGATTATTAAACGAGGCAGCTCCTGTGTCGCTTTGTCACTTCTCCCTGTTGAAGACACTTTCTCTTTTCTTCTCATCTGAGCGGCAGCACCTCACCGCCTCGTAGCATCTGCTGCAAGAAGTCGTCACCTGTCACCTCTCCCCAAATGACTTGAGAAAACAGGATAGAACAGCTATAAATAATTTAGACCCATCCGACGCTGGTGCAGTGACTAAATATCAGAAGTGCTGGAGCATCACAAGCATTGATAGCCACGTAACCTACTTTGGGAGGAGGATGAGAGCAGCAGGACCGCGTGCTGCCCTTGTGGCCAACACATCTCAGCTCCCGTTGAGGGCCCACGGGCAGGGCATGGCCCATCCCTTTGGCACACTGAGATAAAGGTTTGCATCACCCCAAAGACACAGACAAAGCATCCCGAAGGAGCAGGAGAGGGACTTACTATTAACATGCATGATTTCCTGATCAAATCCTACTGCTGTCTCAGAGCTTGTAAGAAGTTAACATCAAAGCCAAGGAAGGGAGGGAATGGCAAGTGCTGGGAGAGATGTCACATTAGTGTCTGGCTCTCCTGCAGCTCCAGCCTTGCTCGTCAAGGCTCTGGCTCCATCGCCCTGCTAGCAGGGAAGGGAAGCATCCCCCGTGTGCTGCAAACAGCAGGAGGACTCGGGTCCTGCACTGCTCCGGCTGCAGGGTGAGATAGGAGCTCCCCTTCGGGCCCTGCTGTAATTGTTCGTCAGGGCATCAGTGCAGCAGAGCCTGATTAAATTCCCAAGCGAGCAACCAGGGAGATAATTAACTTTTGGAACAACTCACCTGCAAGACGCAGCATCCATCACTCAAGGTCTTCTCTGCTGGAGGTGACCCTGCAGCCCAACTGGTGGGAAATATCCTTAGGGGAGTGGAAAGCGCTGATTTACCCGAATTGAAATGATCTGCAGGAGCGCTCCTGGCTCCAGCTGGCAACAAAAGCAGGGAGAGCTGCACAGTGCTGTCAGCCTGCCTGGGCCAGGGACATCGGGGTCACCCGTCACCAATGCTCGCTTTGCTCAGGACCTTCTCCATCCACGCACACGCACACACCTGATTTTAAGTGGAGTTAACCCTGGTTGGGGATGAAATGAGCCTGGTTCTCTCACCTTGTTGGTGCAAACCCAACGCTGGGGCCCCCAGGATCCCCCCCATGTGTAGGATACACTGTCAACCCAGAGAGCTGCTTTGATTTGGAGTGCGCAGCGCTGTCTCTGGGAGATTTATGGCCCCAGTGCCTTTGATGTGGGGCTCTGATAAGCATCAGGAATATTTTTGTTTCATGACAATGTCAGCCAGGGAGCTCTGAGTGCAGGGGTTTATGGGCAGCAGTGCTTCCTGCAGCCCTTGAGCCAGCTGCCACATTCCTGGGGAAGGCCGGCCATGAAAATAAAATCATAAACCCTTGGAAGGCTTTATAAACACAGGGAAGCTTCTCCTTTAAGGGAGAGGAGAGGGGAGTATTTCCATTTCAATCAGGGACATCTCTGGAACAAGCCCTCAGCCAGGGCCCTGCAGAATTTGTCAGGGGATTAGCTCAGGAAAAGAGAGAGTGCAGGATTTTTCCCCTTCGCACTCACTCGGCTGTTATTCCAAATTAGGCTGTTCGCCTTCAGCTCAGAGGAGGGTAATGAAAACCAGAAGGGAGCTGCAATGGGAGCCTGGCTGGGGGCAGGGGACAGGCAGGGCAGCAGCAGAGCACAGGCATGCAAGGGGCAGCGGGTCCCAAGCAGAGAGGAAGCAGCGCTGGTGCTGGCATACAAGAGGAGCATGGCACTGCACAATGCTGCATGGCAATGCACAGTGCTGCATGCATTGCATAGTGCTGCATGGCATTGCACAGCACTGCAAGGCATTGCACAGCGTTGCACCATGCTGCTCTGCCACGCAGAGGGCCCCGCGTTGCACCCACGTTGGGGTCCCGCTGCAGGGAAGCTGCTGTGTCCTGGCTTTCTCCCCTCAGCAGCCTCTGCTCACTGTCAACTGCTTCCCATGTGATTTATTTGAGGTTTATGCTCCAGCCTGTAATGCAAAACCACGGAGAGCATTTCTTCCTCCTTGTAATTAAAGCCCCTGATGCCGGAGCGCACACCTGGTATAAACAACCATAAAAAACTACATGTGCAGAGCCAGCACTGTTTTTAGGTGCTGGGAACACAGCCTGAGAGTGGGTGCCCTTCCGAGAGGCCTCAAAGCCTCTTCCCAGCCCAGATCATTCTCATGGCCCCCTTTGTCCCCCATGCCAACACTGCGCATTGCTGTCCCAATCCTATGCTGTCCCCTCCAACTCCATGGGAAATGCTCGTATCCATGCAAGCAGGAGGGCAGGACAAACAGGTTGGGCTGCTGAAAAAGGGAATGAGGGAAGGGCTGGCAGCACCCAGCACATACTGACCCCAGTCACAGCCCCATGCAGGGTCAGGAATGAGGCAGCCCCTCTCCCCCAGCACATCGTGCTGCTGAGCAGAGACCCACCGGCTGCGTCACAAACCCAGGAACTCAAAGCAATTTTAAATGAACTTTCAAAATGATGAACAAAGAGCCCTTGCCCGTGTTATCCAGCAGATAAATCACACCAAAATGATAGTTGTAATTCCCAAAAGTACACAGCGGATTGATTTTCCGATGGCATTTATCATGATGAAGCAGTGCAGCAGCATGAAGGTACAGCTGGAGCTGCAGCGGCCGCCTCCCTCCGTCCCTCTCCCGTTTATCTCCCGTCCCATCTCAGCCACATTTGTACAGTTGCACAAGAGATCTGTGCTGCTCCACCCGCTCCGCCTTCGGCTGCACCATCCAAGCACCAGCAGAGCCCCGCTCCATTAGGATAACACTGCTTTCAATCCCCAATCAGATGTTTAAATTATAACAGTGTGTGCCTGCGTATATATCTCCCTTTGTCAGAGCCTCGCCAGCCTCTCCTTCTCTCCTTTATTTGTCTTGCTGCTGTTGCAGCGAAAATGTATTGGCTTTGCAGTTAGTGATTACACGTCATCACATACCCAATTTATAACACCATACCCCAAAGAACAGATGTAATAAAGCCAGGCCAGGAAACAGCAATGTTATAAAACAGAGCAGTCAACTCAAAGGTCTTCGCATGTGTGCAGGGAAGAAAATATTGCAGACTCTGCTTTGGGGAGGGGGGAGGATGTGGGAGGCGGGGGTTGGCTGCAGGCGGGGGATGTGGGGTCACAGGGGGTGGGGACACTTGGGGCTCTTAGTGCAGAAATCACTGCTGGGCTCTGCAGCCTCCATGAGAGGCTCATGGAGTGGATGGGGGGCTGTAGAGATGGATTGGAATGGGATGGGGTGGGTGGAAGTAAAGTGAGAAGGGATGGGATGGGATGGGATGGGATGGGATGGGATGGGATGGGATGGGATGGGATGGGATGGGGTGGGATGGGATGGGGTGGGATGGGATGGGATGGGGTGGGATGGGGTGGGATGGGGTGGGATGGGATGGGATGGGATGGGATGTGATGGGATGGGATGGGATGGGATGGGGTGGGATGGGGATGGGATGGGGTGGGATGGGGACTGGATATGTTGGGATAGGAAGGTCTGGAATGAAATGCAATGGAATGGAATGGAATGAGACAAAGCAAAGTGAGATGTGAGGTAATCTGATGGGAAGGGATGGAGTGGGATGGGTTTGGTTGGAGGGATGGAATGAGATGTGGGAATGACACTTGTCTTAGGGGCTGTTCTTCCCTTGTCCCCGTCCCACTCTGGGCTTGCAACCTCCTCCTATCCAAGAGGAAAGGCAAGGGCAGTGATTATCTGCAAATCCTTGATCCTCCCCTTCCCATTCATCCCCAAAGCCACCAGCTCTCAGGAGCAGTTCTCCAAAAAGGCTTACTCCGTGCAAGAATTTATCTCTTTCTATTCACCATGCAGGAGACAGGGCATCTCGCAGTGGGGCTGGCTAATCTGAACCAGAGATAGGAGAGACCCCAGAGCAAGAGCTGCGTGGGGACGGCTCCGATAACGCGGCAGCAGT